TAAAATCTCAACCTTCCCACCCTCTGCACGTGAAAAAAATAGAGTTTTTTTCACACTAGCCATAATTTGAATTAATCTGAGTTAATCGAACTTAATCTAAAATAAATCAAATCATCTGTCTGAGATCTACGTGTTTTCTCTGCCCTGCAGTGGAGTTCTGCCCATCAAAGAGCCCGTGGTGGACTGTGCCTCTCCGGTGTACCAGGCAGTGATCAGGCCAGGAGAGACGACCCAGGACATGTCTGAGTGGGCCCGCCGTGCTGCCAACCTGCAGTCCAAAAGCTTCAGGATCCTGGCTCACATCACCGGCACTGAATACCGTCAGTAGTCCAGCTCCTTTCCTTCCTGTCTCATACATACCTCACATTTTCTCAATAGTCCTTACAAAAATGTTTTCTTTTTTTTTTGTCTGCGCAGTGCAAGATCCAGACGAGGAAGCGCTGCAGAAATCAAGGTGAGAGTTATCTTACAAAAATGAGCAGCAGAGTTTGGACAAAGATAAGAGTTTCTGCCTTTGTGGTAAATTTACCTGATAGAGCCGCTGTTTTTAACCGTGCTTTCACTGAACCGACATAAAAGTGACATCAGATGAAAACACTTTTATTAAATGGCTGGATTTCACAGCTTTATCTTGTCTTCCTCACCATCAGAGAGAAGTTTGAGTCYGAGGTCAAAGGGCCACGCTTCGCCAAGCTGAAGAACTGGCACCACGGATTGTCCGCACAGATCCTCAACGTCCAGGAATAAGAAGAGGAGACGGAAACGCGAAGAGCAGAGGAGCGACAGAAGGGAGGAGGACATGTAAACAAAACAAAACAAAACAAAGGAGGAAGTGGGGCTGAATTGTGGAGAGAAAAACGAGCAAGAGGAGGAAACTCCTCAGGAATGTGAGATATTATTGTAGTCTAGAAGARTAGAAATGAATACTAAATGTTAGTATAAGACTGCTTTATGTTTTTATTGTCAAATATATTTGTCTGCTGTTAAGATCTGATCTCACGTTGGCGTTCTTTTTTCGGGTTTGTTTCCTGATTATTTGAGCTTTTTGTTTCTTAAATGAGAGGGAAAAATGTAAAAAAATAAGTGTTCAAGTGAAACTGCAGAAATGTTTTCTTTTTTTCGTTTTTCTTTTTTTTTTTTTTGCTCCCGCAGAAATCACAAATGTATTTTAATTTTAAAACTAAATGAACATGTTTGTTAGAGCATGTGAGCATGTGACATTAAGAGAAACACACTATTTATCTACATCATGCACAAGTACAGTATGTAAAAATGCACTCAGAATGTACTGATATCAATGTGAATAAATGTTTTCTTAAATTTAAACAGATAAGGGGTGTGTTGTGAAATGAATTGACTATTTTTTAAAGGGCTATAACTCTGTGAGTTCTGAAGAACAGGACCTAAGATTGGATTTGGCAGTAGCTGAAACTGATCCCCAGCAGCAGAGCGTGGATGGGTTTTTTTGAACTGGGGGGGTCCAAGATTTAGCAAAAAAATTCATCAAAAAATGTAAAATTTGGGCAATTAGGGCTATTTTGTAATGCTCAAACAGTTCCCCTAATAATAGTTTGCTCTAAAATGTCATTGCAGAATGATTTGAAATCAAGGATAAATGAAACAACATTGTAAATTGTTAAACAAACACCTTCCCAATCAACACTATTCACTTATCATGTAACGGTTATTTGTCTGGATCACCCACCAAAACCTCTCTAATATGTTTTATTTCAACATTTGTGTGAATTCAGAAATGTAAACATATTTACATTGAAATCTATACGGAACTCACATTTTAAATAACTTTTTTTCATAACATAACATTAAACACAAAAATAAAAAAGCATCTAATTTATTTAGTTTAATACAGGTAAGACCTAACAGAGTTCATTAATGTCAGACGAGCTCATTGACATTACAAAACAATTATCTTCCACAACAGGAAACAGGAGGATTGTCTGCTTACATTGTCTTTTGAAAAAACGCTCTGGTTGTTTTTTATTTCTTTATTTTCTTTCAATAATAAATTTAAATCTTACTCTAAATTTCCAACTTGTGGGATAAATGAAGAATTATCTTATCTTATCTTATCTTATCTTATCTTATCTTATCTTATCTTATCTTATCTTATCTTATCTTATCTTATCTTATCTTATACCAGACTCCCTTTAGGACCCTGGGGATTGCTGTGTTCATTTAAACTGAAAGTTGGAACTTCGAGATCTGAACAACACAAACCTAAAGTTGAGTTTTCCCAGTACGTCCCAGCCTCACAAACGTACAAAAAAACGTGTTACTATTGTTTACGTGATTAGTATAGCATTAATTCAGTCGGGTTGGTGAGAATAATCAGACTTTCCAAGCTGTAGAACTGATTCTGACTCGGGTTGAAGAAATTCCAACATTCATGAACGCACCATTTAACTAAAGGAGCATTAATCATCAGTTTTAATTGGAGATATTTCTCTAGGGACAGAGGTTTATGGATCAGGGTCACTATGAATATGGGAAGAGGGGGTTAAATGTTATGATTTAGATATTAATTCATATTTTATTTTTCTATCTTTATTTTATTTCATTTTTTAGGGCTGCTGTTGACTTGTTGATGGGATGGAAATCTGTGATCTTAAACCTTCTGGTTTCCTTTTCATGCTTATTAATTATTCTCATTCTAACACTGTTGATGACTGTACGAATTTGATTCTAAGAAAGGCGCGATATGAATATAATTTAACTTATTTTCTTACTTACATTCCTTCAATGACTAATACGCCTCCTATTCATTTGGTACGACGGAGATTTAATCAGAACAGCTGCCAGAAAAAAAAAGGCAGCAAACAGSTTCATTTCAGTTGAGATGTCAGGATTCTGCTTCCAACCTTAATTCTGATTAAAGGTGTTGCATCAGAGGACCGCTTTGTTGTGGAGTCAGCATGTCAGGGTGGAAGAGAGGAGGAGGAGGAGGAGGAGGAGGGTGGCTGTGACTCATTCAGGTGGAGATGACGAAGCATTTTTTTATCCGCTCACCACAGCAGAACAACTGCAGATGCTCTCATTGTTTCCCCTGATCTCAGGCTTTAACCAATAGTCTTAAGCAGTAATGGTAAACAGTGCACACCATTTTGATTGGTATAATGGTAAATAAAGGTGGAATTAAATCATCTTTTGCTCAAGCTAGATTACATGGGATTTCATCAGTTGTGTGATGTGAAAAAAGAAATCCTCTTCCCCTCCACTGAAGCCTGTCTGGTTATATAATTCTGCTTTCAAACTCAGCCTGTAGGAGGCCTCAAAGCAACGTGCAAACAGAAGAGGATGAAGTGATCATATGAGAGGAATGATGGAGGCTGGAATACTGCATGGCTTTAAAATGCTGCAGCATCCATCTCTCCTCCTCCCCTTCCTCCTCCTCCTCCTCCTCCATCTCGTTGATCCAGCCTCCCCTCTTCCTTCAGTCTGCCTGCTGTGGTCCTGCTGTGCGTCGCTCTGCTGTAGCACCAACAAGAGGAGGAGCTAAAGCTTTCGCATCCTCAGGCACACACGCTCTGACATCTCCCATCATCTCCTCTGCATCCTCTCTGTAAAAAAAAAAATCTAAAAAAAAAACTAAAAAACAAACAACACCCAGCCAGGCCTGTTCGGAGCAGGGGGAGCCCAGCCGTTCTATCGCCCATCATGGATGTACTGATGAAAGGCTTCTCCATGGCCAAGGAGGGGGTGGTCGCCGCCGCAGAGAAGACTAAAGCAGGCATGGAGGAGGCAGCAGCCAAGACCAAGGAGGGGGTGATGTATGTAGGTATGTAGACAGGAAACATCAGATGTGCAAACATCTTCTGCTTTTATTTTTGTGTCAGACTGTATGGGTGTTCACACCAAAAAAAAGAGAGAGAGAGAAAAACAATGAGGAGGAGGAGGATGAAGGATTCTGCTGCAGGACTGCTGCAGGGCAGAGGGAGTGGAGAAGTGATGAAGGGATAGAATGAAGGGGTGGAAAAGTTGCAGCAGGACAGCATGAGACAGAAGACTGGGTTTGGCAGAAATCGATTTCAAAAACGAGGAGACGAGATCGGGATGAAGAAGCAGAAGCTTTTAGCACCTGTGCAGAATTTACAATCAGGAGTTTACAAAGCAGGAAAATGTTGATTCAGTCCAGCTAAGTGCAAAATGTCAGCTTCCTGACCCAAATTTAAATGTATGTGTCAGATGAGTCTATAAGCTGCTCTTTTTTTTTTAGAATAAAAGCAAAAAAAAATGTTCAACACAGTTTGTTTGGCAGTGAAAATGCAAGCTGTCGTCTCCTGAGGTTTTAATTTTAGCTCGAGCAGAGACTGCGTCACATCTCAAGGTTACCACCTGAGAGGCAGGGAGGAGAGGTGATGGGAGGGGAGGGGGGTGGGGTCCACTCGCCGCCTGCAGTCTGTGTCCTGGAAGCTGCCTCTGACATCACACGGTGACTTCTCAAGTCTTTTACAGGGCTGGAAACAGAGGAGCACGCAGGACCACAAACTGAGAGGAAACACAAAGGATGGGGAGTCCAGGGTGTGTGTGTGTGTGTGTGCGTGTGTGTGTGTGTGTGTGTGTGTGGAGGGGGGGTAAAGGTTGACACTGCAGCATTTAGTTGTCCCACCCTCACCTCTTCCCTCATCCTTTAAATACAAAAAAAATGTGAATGAGTCGTGTCTGGATCCTCCAAATGGGAGGAGCTTGATGATTTTCTACAACTAAAATGAACAAAAATGAAAAAAAAAAAAAAAGCTGCAGCTCCAGTGTGAATCTAATGCAGAGATGATGGAGATTTTTTTTTTTAAATGACACCTTAGAAAAAAACAGTCAAAGCTCAGGTGAGGGGAGGGCGTGGCAAAAGATGTGACAGAAAAGAAGAAAAGGGAAAAAAGGGGAGGCCAGAAAAGTGACAAAATCAGACTAGAGGAGCAGAAAGAGAGGAAGAGGAGACGTGTTTGATGGAGTGAAGAAGGTCGATGTTTCCGCCTGCAGCTGAGCGCACACGTCACTGTAACAAGGTTTGCATGACAGACTGCAGGACAGGTTCTGGGATGACAAATCCAAATCAGATTATCTTAAATTGAATTAAATGAAGGTTTGATCAAATGTCTTCCAGTCGTAATAATCTTTAATTGATTTGATTTGATTAATCCTTCATGACTGTCATTAGTCTTAAAATATCTAAGATAAAACCAGATGAATCATTCTGTTAATTATTTATAGTAAATTCAAACTATCATGTGTTGTTTTTGTAATGAAAGCAGGTCACAAACACCATCTCTTATTTAACCAAGCGCAGCCGCTCCTCTGAAAAACACGTCTCGTATTAATGATTCATCAAACCAACAAAAGGAAAAACACTGATCCAAGCTATCTTCGTTTATTCAATCAAGATTTAGATTATCACAGGATTTTTTCCT